TGGAGACCATGGTTGAAACCAATGGCGATTTTATTGAATAAATTTACTCTTTATTATTTTGAGATATTTTTGTGTAATTTTGGTAAATATATCTGTTAAAATAAGATGTTAGTGTTGTTTTCATTTTTGCATAATTTAGATGACAATTTATCCATTGCACCCTATGGATTATATATATATATATATATATATATACACACACACACACAAAAAAAGGAAAACCTGACAAAACATACAATTTAACATGTTGACTGCCAGAGGTCAATTACAAAATATGACTTTAAATGCCAAATTTATAATAGCCAATTTAGGCAATAAAAAATTTTCAAATGCTTTATTTATGGTATATTTAATAAATGTTTCTTGTAAAAACTTTCCTGCTTTAGATGTCAGAAATTTGCCTTAAAGACAAGGAAAAAATTTGTGGTTGTAGCCTTAATGGCAAGACCACAAAAATGAGATAACTTATGGTTTGCATCATAATAAAAACTGTCAACCATGAGTTATCTCATGATTGGTAGTCAGTGTGTTAAAGTAGTTAAAAAAATTAAACTGTTTTTTTTTTCTTTTTTACATGAAACAAGAATAATTTCGTCTGTCTAATGATTTATCATTAAACTGTTTTTTCTGATAAGATCTGTCATCTTTTGCATTAACAATTTTATAATTCCCCATTTTCTTAAAACCTGATCTTTTGTCATTTTTACAATTGATTGTTAATTTCTTGGATACAAGGTCACAGTAGTCCTTTTTTAATACCTTATATTTATACAACTCAGACAACAGCAGCATTTTATGTGAATTTTGTTTCTCTTTTTAAAAATGCTTTGATTATCTCACTATGTTCTATATCTAAAGAGTTAACAAATTCTACAGATCTTCCAAAATCATTTCTTACAGTAATAAAAAAAGTTCAATTTTTATCATCCAAGTTAATCTCAACCATATTTCTAGTATAGTATAAAAGACCACTTGGTTCTTGAAAATTGATAGAAATTCAGTCATACAAATGAGCATTCTGGTTATATTTTAATCATAGTATTTTCTTTGTTTTGTGCTAGTATTTTTGTCTTAGTATTAATTTAGTTTTTATTTTTTTCAAATAGGAAAATATTAAGAAGGTAAGACAATATTCATATTAAATGTTTCTTAATCTAATTTTGATGTCTTGCATGCATATTTTTGCACTAACATGTACATGTGAATTGTTTTAGATTTACTAATATTTATATAGTCTAATCTTGAAACATGAAATGGTTGTTGATAATAAAAGGAAAACTGTGCAACTGGATAAATGAAGGTATTTTGCCTTTCTTTTATTTTTATGTTTTTGATCAAAACAAATGATGAATCATTTTAATCATCTAATACAAAAATTAAAACTGTTTAAGACAAACTTCTAACAAATTAACAATTTTTTATCTAATAAAAATATTACTGTTCTTTTTTATTTTTTAAAGTCTTATACTATTTTCTGAATAGATTAAGACCTGTCCTTTCTACTTGTAAGATAGCAATTCCACTCAATATGTTAAACAAATAAAAAAAATGTTTCATTTTTTTTTTATTTCAAAGTAACTAAAGATCTAACTTGCTATGATTAAAGAAAGGGAAATGCTAATGAGAGGTCAAATCATTTACAAGGGTCAACACAGCTGTGTAGATCTTTTGATAACTCAACTGAAACAAAATGAAGAGGGATTTCATTTTGATCTGACATTTGTCAAAAAATCTTCAATTGAATGCAAGATGCCACTTTGAAACAGCTCAAGTGGAAGATCTTTCATGTTCTACCAGCTTCAGACAGAAAATAAAAACAAAACAAAAGAAAGTCAGAAAAGTTTGGCTACTCTGAAAACAAAAGACATGCAGTCTTCATTCTAGTGGAGACAACATTTGACCTCCTTAGAATGACACAGTCAACTATGCAACTAGGCATGTACTGGCCTGTAATGCACATTGGTAGTATATTTACATTTGTGGAATTAGAAGTGACACTTTGAAAAATAAAAAGGAAAAAAGAAAAACAATAATGTATAAGATGTTCTATTTTGTTGTCTTCTGCTTTTTTGAATGTATGTATGTGTGTGTGTGTGTGTGTGTGTGTGTGTGTGTGTGTGTGTTTAGGTACTTGATGAAATTGATGCAAAGAATAGAATTTTAGGATCAGTAGTCAGTATTTGCACAAAGATGAAAGATAATAAAAATAAGGGCCACTTTATGATTGAACTCAGATACAATGAACATAATCTGTAACAACCATCTGGCTTTTCTAGGACAGAGTAAACAGTGCTTATCTAATTCTTAAATTTGATCAGGGAATGCTTATTTGAATTCCCAAGAAAAGAAGTATATGATTGGAAAATTGATTGTGGAAATCTTTAAAGTAGAAGGAAAGGTTGCAATAAAAAGAGCATCAAAGGGAAGGGTGAGAAAGATAAGCAAAGATGAAGAATGTGAACAATGATTTTATTTTCATTTTATTATATTTATTTATTTTGCTGGCGGAAAACAGAAATCAAAAATAGCAAAATTCAATAAATTCTCTGAGATAATTAAATATGAATTTATTTTTCAAAAGTTAAAGCAACTTATATAATTTTTATCAATTCTATTTTTTAAGGTTTTAGTAAACTTGAGGATAAGATATATTTGGATGGACTTTTTTCTAAAGTACCTAAAGTTATATCAACTCTCTTGAGTTTTCTGAACCACATGATTTATTACAATATGATATAAAATATTGCAAAACCAACAGTACAATAAAAATAGAAAATTGTAATGGTTCTAAATATCAAATTGAATGATTGGTAAGGAATGTCCTGACTAGTTCAGATATCAACAGCAAAGGAACACAGTCACTCTAAAAGTTGTTGAGACTACTGAACTCATTTTTTGTGTTGCATTTTTTGGCTGATCTAATCTACAGCATTCCTTGGGTGTACAATCAGAAGGGAAAGAAAAGAATTTCTTTTTTTTTTAACAGAAATAGGTAGTAAACAGAAAAGAAATAATATTATCTATCTAATAACCATATTTTGTCAATAATGTTTACCTTTATGTCCTGACCACTGCAATTATCATTTGCTTCATTTCAATATGCAACATAGAGATGGAGTATTGAAACTTGCTTAACTAAATTTTAGATAAAAAAATTACAAAACCTTGTGTTTGATAATCATTTTTTTTAATTCCAGAAATATTTTGTTTGCTAATCTAGAAAACACTATAAATAACTAGGTGATGGAGAAATGATATATGTAGTTGGAAGAAAAACCCAAACCTTGCCTGTCTTGTATATTGGGTGGAAAAGCAGTTGATAATAAAATGCAGTCATAATTACAGTTTCATTTTGTGATTCTGAATACATGGCTTCTTTTTATTAATATTTTCTTTAATACTTTAGTTTTTACTTCATCAATGGGGAGATGGTCTAGCATTCACTGCCTTACAAAAGGATTGATAACACATAGCAATTAAGCACTTTTTCTTTGTTTCTAATGAAATTTTCCTATTTCTTTCTTAGTACTTTATTTAGATTTTTAGAATGGATCTTTCACTATTCCAATGCACATTCAAATTTTGATGTTTCATTTTCCATCCTCTGTTAAAAATACTTCCCAAAGTACTTCTGTACTTATTTGATGGTGACATCTCTAATTTGTGGTTTGCATAAACCCATATTGAAGGCAACAGTTATTTTATTAATAAACTAGAATATAGTTGAAAAGCAACACAGTGATGAGTCATGCCATGAGGAAGCAACATGTTTAGCATTTGACCATATCTAGTGTTAGGTTGTCTAATGCAATAATATCCTGAAGTATTAGTTATTTAATAACAATATAGTGATAGTAATTAATGTTTTTTCCTTTACAGATAAAGTGGAATATTCTTATGTTGTTAATAATCATATTATGGTGTTTTTAAATTGTGTGAACAGTCATGATCATTTTTGCTATATTTGTGAGAAATTCATAGGGAAATGACAGAACATAACAGATTTTGTTTAAAAAATAGTACATTATGTATACTATGGAATAAAATTTGAAAACCAGGGCAAAAAATACGACCTTCCTGACGCCATAGATTCCCAAGCTGGCATCTACGCGGATGACACTACAATTTACTCCTGCCTCAAAAACAAGACTTTAATGCCTCAAAAACTAAACTACTCTCTATTAATCACCATAGAGCTCCTTCCCTGCCCCCCATTAGAATGTCTGATAGTCAACTTCTTGAGAGCAACTCCCTGCATCTGTTCGGTCTCACATTGACTGCTGACCTGAGAAGGAACAAATACATTGAGTCAATTGCTTCTTCCACCACGAGGAAAGTTGGCTCTCTGTGCCGCGCCAGGAAATTTTTCTCCCCAGAATCGATACTTCAAATATACAAATCAACCATTCACCCTTGCATGGAGTATTGCTGCCATATATGGTCTGGGGCACCTTCTGTTTACCTCGGAGTTCTTGACAAGATCCAGAGACGGATATGTAATATAATTGGCCCTGATCTGGTGTCTCGTCTACAGTCACTCTCTCACAGACGCACCATCGCCTCTCTCTGTCTTTTCTACAAATACTTTCATGGTAATTGCTCAGATGAGCTGCTTTCACTGGTTCCCAGACTCCATGAATTCAAGCGCCCTATGAGGCTGGCATCCCGCACCCACCCTTACACTGTAGAAACTTGTAAATGTATCCGTCTCTTCTACTCCTTACCGATTACTGTTTCCCTGAGAGCTATAATCTTCAACTATTCAAATGTAATGTCAATCGACATCTCCATTTACCCTGATCTATCCACTATCCCTCTCCTCACACTCCTATCTGCTCTTGCTCCAAATCTTCTGCAACCCCCTGCATCCTAGTGGCTTCACGCCTTGCTCGGGGTGTAATGCTTAAAAAAAAAAAAAAATTTGTGTTGAGGAATTAACACAATGGACAAAAAAATATCATAGTAACTATTATTAGTTATATATAAAATTTAAAAGCTTACAACCACATCATGTTGAAACACCGGTTCCCATATGGTCATCAAAGTTAAGCAACATTGAGCTTAGTCAGCACCTAGATGGGTGACCACTTGGGTATACCAGGTGCTATATGCTTGAATATGCAGGTGGTGTAATGATAATGACTAAGAAAAGTTAATCAGAGAGCTTAGTTCCAGTTTCCATTGCATTTGTTATATTCACTTATATGCAAATACCTTTGGGAAAGGTAAGAATCCACCACTTTTCTCTCCAGTTATGGGTTAATTATTAAGACTTGTATCACTAAACCATTATCTTAAAAAAAAAAATTATTCCAATCTAAAAATATCTTCTGGCTTTAAATAGCCTGAAGAGAATTGATAAGCTGTAGAAAATGAAAGACTGAATGAATGAATCAATCAAAAGTTGAAAGACAAAACAAAAAAAAAAGAAATCTTATTATATTCTTCCATCAGCAATAAGACCTGTACTACATGGATCAGATCTTTTAATTATGTAGAAATAGACCACAGGTGAAGAATAAGTTCTAACCATTTTTCTCAGGATATATTTAATAATTTGGTGTCTTCAAAGATACTGCAGAACTCTTGGGGTTTAGATTTTGAAAGTAAGTTACATTCACTAACAACTTTGTCTTAGTACCACAATAGAGAAAAAGATTTTGCATTATATTTCAACAAAGACAGATCCTTAGTTCATTGCATTGATATTAATGTTCAAAAATGCAGAAATAATACCTAATAAGAATTTAAACAATTTTCAATGACTTCAATATTGAAGACATGTAATTCCATTTATAAAGAATTGTATTTAATCAACTGATAATTTTTTACCAGTTTTACCAAAGATCTGTAACATGTTGGATAGTAAATAGATAATGCTGGAAATTTAGTCAAAGAATTTTATACTGTTTTGGATTTTACTCCATACTAATTCCATAATTTGACAACGTTTTCCTGTTTCTCTGATTTTTTTTTCATATTCCTTGAGGGTATATTTTCAGCAAGGGAGTAGGTGATAAAGAGCAAGACAATACCTGCCAATCTTACAATCAATAAAACCACTTATTCAACAACTTGAACTTAAAACTTTTTTTTTTAATAATTTCACCCCAAACTAGGTGGGAATACCACTAGTACACATGGGGTTACAGAGAGAGTGAGAGAAAAGACTAGATATAGAGGAGATTGAGGAAAGGATAAAAGATAAACAGAGTTCAAGGCAACAGAAGATGGCAATTGATATTGCATTTAAGTTTTTGAAGATTGTAGTTTGTAGTTTTCAGGGAAGCAAGTAAATGGAAAAACGTTCCACTGTTGGGAAGTGCAAGAAAAGAAACTCTGGAAGTAGAAGTGGTGGTTACATTTAACCATTTCAACAGTAAATAGGTGGGATCTAGATGCCAATCTAGTAGCATGCTTAAATTCATGTAGTCAGGGCACCAGGGAAAAAAGCTCATCAAAGCAGTTGCCATGAAAATATTTGTAACAAAAACAGAGGGAAGCCATATAATGTCTGTGAGAAAGAGAGTGAAGTTGAGATGCCAAGTCAGGATCAATTACATTGCATATACATCTTTGGATTTTGTCAAGAACCTCAAGATGAACAGCAGGAGCATCAGACCAGATATTGCAACAAAATTTAATGCACAGCCAAATGATAGATTTGTAAATGTGCAAGATTTACTATGATGAGAAAAATCTTCTGGCACAAACAATGAATCAAATTTCCTTGCAATAGATGCAGTTATTGATTCAATGTACTTGTTCCACTTCAAGTTAGTTGAAAACATGAGGCCAAGAAGGCACAGTATGATGCTCTCCAGGAGTCAAGCTGATGGTGGGCAAGGAAGTTTCTCTACAGTGGTTAAATGAGAGTAGTTTAGTTTTGGACACATTAAAATTTACAAGCCATTTCCTGCCCCAGTTAACCACTGATTGGAAGTCCTTTACAAGAGCAGTGGCCAGGTTAACTTTGTCAGCTCTGACAGATTTGCTATATATGAGGCAATAGTTGTAGGGTTTGGAGAGAACTGGAGCCAACTTGGAATCACATTTCTTTAGGAAGACAGCTGGGATCCTGTCAACTCAGCTTGCCTTATGGAAGTCTAATTTAGAAATGATGTCCAAGACCAGTGACGGGGTTATGCACATATCACTCAGTAGAACCTCTTTTCTAGGGGAGAGATCAGCTGTGGGCACTCCAAGAGAGCTGCTTGTTAAGTTGGAAGAGAATTTTCAAGCAAAGCATTCAACTTTATCTGCTGTAGCTGAATAGAGGAGGGATTGAGGATTTTCTGTTGTTCAGCACACTCTTGCACAGCTGCCAATAATCTGTAGAACCGAACTTGTGAGATACTATATGTTGTTTCATTCTATCAGTGAATAGTAATTTCACTTCAGAACTATTAGAAAGAGGAACATCCAAGTTAGATGAAGAAATACATGAAAACTGACTTTTCAACAGTAATTTTAGTGATGAATGTAGAGCTACATTAGAGGGACTTTATAGTTGGGTTAGCAGTTGGATCCTTCACAACAAGGGATGTGGAGTAATGTTTTGGGGTTAGTAAAATTATAGGTTCACTCAAAATTGGTAATGTTATCAAGATAAAGAATCCACAATAATACACTGAATTTAACAAAGTTTGAGTGGAAGTACAATCAAATGTATATTCATGAAAGACAGTGTACCTTCATACTCTTGCCAATAAAGATTAGAAATATACCAGATTAATGGGATGGCATAAATCCAATAGAAAACTTGTGGTCTATTCTTAAGAAATGTATATGAGAATGGAAAAAAGGATTTCTGGGAAGTGATAAAATTTGTTCCAAGTAATGTTAAAGTCAAAGTAAAAAGTTAACAAAATCAATGGACAAAAAACTGATGTATCTTATTGAATATCATATTGCCTATATTGGCACATAAAATAATAATTTATTCAGCTATGTAGGATATTCTATAAATCAAATTTATGTTTCTCTAGAATTTTAATTTATTCATAAATAGTAGGTTGAGTCTTAAATAATTTCCATTTTTGTTTTATCAAATTTATTCTTCAAAGAATTTACATTTTATTCAATTATTTATTCATCATCATTTTTAATAACTTGTTACAACATATCAGCTCCTTGATAACTTTTGAGGAAAATTCTGCAGGTTTGGATATGAAAATGTTTTGGAAGGACTCTTAAATCTGGTTCCCATCGAAGAAAGTTTTCCCCATCAATGTATTTTGCAGCAACTGAAAAAGGTAATAATCAGTTGGTGCAAGGTCAGGTGAAGATGGCCAACAGGTTAGAACAGACCAATCAAGTTTCAAAAATTTTCCTGTGTTATATCAAGAAGAACATTTTTTCCTTAATCCATTGTGTATACTACTATGCAAAAATTAAGTCATGTTAGTACACTACAAATTTATTCTTAACTATCAGGTATGATTAATAGTTAGGATGATATGTCATCATTACAACTGTGATTTTCCCACAAATAGAAATTATTTATGAGTCAATGTAATAAAAAAATTTAGTTTGCATAATAAAATCTGCTAGCTTTTAATCTGGATAGATGAGTTGCTCATACAGATATATATCCTAAAGATTTTATCAATATCATTTGGTTAGTTGGTTTATAACAATTTTATTGTGAAAATGCTGAATTGCATAATAAAATCTGACATCATGCACAAAATGTTTACAGTTTGTTTATAGCTACTAACTTAAAACACACACACATTTTTATTAAACCAATCCAGGCAAAATGGCTCCTAGAAATTACCTTAACTCTTGTTTATGTCAAGCTTTCCCTTTTATTTTATAAAAACACTGTCTTCAAAGTACATATTCACTTTTTATTATTAACTATTCTCTCACTATTTGGATATGTGCAAGGGGGTGCTGAAAAGTTCTCAAAATGACTCATTTCTCCAAATGTAACTAAACATCAGAATAATTTTAATCACTTCATGGTTAGGCTGAGAACTTTTCCGACACATCTCTCTCTCTCTCACACACACACACACACACACACATATCTCATAAAAAGAATGTTAAAGCTTGTATACAGTATAATAAAGATAATATATATTGACTTATGCTAATTCTGAATAGTTTTGTATCAGTTTTGATTTTGTGAAGATTTTTCATAAGTATCAGTCATTGGGGGTGGGAGTGAGTTTATACCAATTTTAAAATTTTAAACACTTTTCATTCATTGAAATTTATGTTAATGAATCCCAACAAACAAATCTAAAGTAAAATTACAAGATATGTGAATATCTGGAGTGAATCCTAATGAAGATTTGGAGCTGTTATTTATACACTGAAAGACAAACTTAGAAGAAATTTAATTAAAATAAATCAAACTAAAATGAACATAATAACAAAAAGATAATGTATCAGATCTAGCAATAGATAGCATCAGTAATTGATTAAAAATGTAGAAAAAAATTTACGAAAGAGGCTATAATAGAAGGAAACTGAATAAAGCTAACAATTTTATTCTTGTATATATGAGCATAATCAAGACTCATGTACTTGGGTGAGAAAAAGACAAGTAGTTATCAATAGTCAACAGTAAAGGACAACATATAAAAGTAATACAGAAGTACAATATAGCCTATAAGGATATGAAATCAAAGCAAGTGTTTATTTTTCTCTTTCCATCAGTCTTTTTTCTTATATTAATTTAAACAGTACATTTTCAGATTTTATCCGCTACAAGCAATCAAGCAATATTATTAGTAAAAAGATATAAATTCATCACATTAAAACAATATCTAAATATTTTCAAAAGACATCTATTGTATTCTTGTATTTTCAGAAAAATATTTCAGTTGTAATTAACAATGAAGTTACTCATCTGATAATAAAGGAATGAGAAAATATTACAGAACAAAATAATTAGTCATCTGAAACTGTAATCTTATTTACTGACTTTTCTTACTCCTCATCATTTGGTCAAATTGGTTTCCAAAAACTGTGCTTTTTTTAACCAGTATCCAAGAGTTCAGGTGGAATTTCTTTTTTTAATTCACTAAATCTAAAATGCACAACTGAAGATAAAGACAACATCCTTCCTCTTGAATCTCCCCCATAAAAAAAATAAAC